TGTTCACCTCATTTTGAGTCAGCTTCCAACCACACACTTCTTGTCCCGTGTGGGACCGAAGAGCTGAAGCTCAACCCCGGACAACAAGGCGAGTACAAGTCCCCTACACTTCCTGCCCCCCCCCCTCCCTCCCCCATCCTGAGTATCTTACCCCACACAAGCCACATCAGAATTCTATTAAAGGACAACTTTTAACACCGCCTGAAACCTCCCTGTTTCATTTATCTAAGAAAAACTTTATTTAAGATAAGAAAGCCTCTCTCTCTGGACGGCTGCAGGAGGCCCTCAGCCTATGTTCTGTTTCCATAAGACCCTCCGGCAGGTGCGCGTTCTAGGGACCTGCCCAGAATTAAGAGCCTCCGGCAGGTGCGCGTTCTGGGGACCTGCCCAGAATTAGAGTAAACATTGTTGTTATATTCGAACAAATTAGCCGTTACATTTCCTGTTAAACAGTAAACTTGTTTCAGATTGTTAGTTATGGAAAGTGTGTCAACAACTGGCGGGCGTGAACTACAACAGCTCCCGTTGCCAGATTTATAACCCCAAGGACTTGTAGTCGGAATGGCTACAACACTCAACCATTTTGCCTATAACCTTTACCCTGTTTTATGTGAAGTAGGACGCTGAGGAGCTAGAAGGTTACGTAATACCCCTCTTAATTACTTATACGTAGTGCTCTTAGTGTATGTAGGAACTTTCATAGTATCTGAGAGTGGGTCCTGGGTATTGCTTATCTATTGATCTACGCAGATAAAGACAGTACTGATGATTAGTTGTAACTTTGAGGAGTTTCAGGTGCTTGTCTACCCATTTGTTCCTGTGTACTGGGAATTTTCTGTCATTTTTGTTGATAACTAGAACTTACACAGTGTTTTGTTATTGTTACATTGTGTTTACTTTTGTAATAGATTGTTGACTTGTTAAGGGATAGGTGTAATTCTTTTCAACATACTTATAGGTAATTGGTAGTCTCTCACTCTCACACACTCTCTCTCTCTCTCTCTCTCTCTCTCTCTCTCTCTCTCTCTCTCTCTCTCTCTCTCTCTCTCTCTCTCTCTCTCTCTCTCTCACACTCTCTCACACTCTCACACACACACTCTCACACACACTCTCTCACACTCTCTCTCTCTCTCTCTCTCTCTCTCTCTCTCTCTCTCTCTCTCTCTCTCTCTCTCTCTCTCTCTCACTCTCTCTCTCACACTCTCTCACACACTCTCTCTCTCACTCTCTCTCTCTCTCTCTCTCACTCTCTCTCTCTCTCTCACTCTCTCTCTCTCTCTCTCTCTCTCTCTCTCTCTCTCTCTCTCTCTCTCTCTCTCTCTCTCTCTCTCTCTCTCACTCTCTCTCTCTCTCTCACACTCTCTCTCTCTCTCTCTCTCTCTCTCTCTCTCTCTCTCTCTCTCTCTCTCTCTCTCTCTCTCACTCTCTCTCTCTCTCTCTCTCTCTCTCTCTCTCTCTCTCTCTCTCTCTCTCTCTCTCTCTCTCTCTCTCTCTCTCTCTCTCTCTCTCTCTCTCTCTCTCTCTCTCTCTCTCTCTCTCTCTCTCTCACACACTCTCACTCTTATTCACACGCGGGTAAATATAGGTGCTTAACAATAAATGCCACGGACGCAACACATGCTAACTCATCTCTAAAGCTTTATTGCTTGCTCGAGGTCAAACATACAGCTGAACCATTACCACCAGGCTTAATATAAACAATGAAATATCATTTGTTTACACTCTAGCCTTTAGCCGAGGGTACGGCAGCAGAAGGACTCCGAGTCCCAGGTGCACGCAGAGAGTTCTCCCTCCCGCAGTGTTCTTCCCCCCCCCCCTGGAACACGACACGTCATTCGTTATACATCCAGGTCCTCAGTTACTGCTGAGTGCACATGGGCGGACATTAAAGAATAGGTCCCTGTCATCCAGTCTTACCCAGCGTTCGAAGCCGGGTATGTGTTCGGTTCGCCTCTCCGGCTTCAATGAAACTATTTTGGTAAATTCCTGAGCATGAACCCAACGCAAATAATGAGGATCTTTGCCAGCAGACAATAAGGAATCACTCTCAAGGCGTGTTTTGGCTTGAGGTCCTCATGCACATGTTCACAGCCACATTCTGCATCTCTCACATCCCTGTGCCTCTCGCGCGCACACACATCCTTGCTTCTCATTCTCATACACATATCCCTCCTTCCTTCTCTTTCTCTTCGTTCACTTTATCAATATTTGCTTACGAATTCCTTCCATCAATCGTTTTGTGTGTGTTGCCACGAAGGTGGAGTGTGACGGGCAGGAGTGTGTGACGTTAGTGGACTGCTCACCTGGTGGCGGCATTGAAATTGAAATAAGTTTATTGAGGTAAAATACACACAAAGGGATAAGGTACCACCACCAGAAATGTATACGTTTATCTCTCAGAATGTTCGACAATATGTTTATTGTTTGTCATGTGTGTGTATATATGTGTTCATACGTGTTCATACATACATATATATCATACAACGTGTTCATACATATATACACACACATGACAAACAATAAACATATTGGCGAACATTCTGAGAGATAAACGTATACATTTCTGGTGGTGGCAGGTGGTAGTGCATCAACGGTTATCTCGAGATGATTTCGGGGCTTTAGTGTCCCCGCGGCCCGGTCCTCGACCAGGCCTCCACCCCCAGGAAGCAGCCTGTGACAGCTGACTAACACCCAGGTACCTATTTGTGCTCGCACCTCGCTCGCACGGTACTCGCACCTCTGTAACAGTGACACACAGTATCATCGTCGGAGAACAGTGATATTCTGCTTGGTGATGCAACCACATATTCCAAGATTTCTACTCCCGACGGTCAACTAGTCAAACACTTAAACAAAACTTAACATAATAAGAATATGAACTTATAAGAACTTAAGAACATATATATATATATATATATATATATATATATATATATATATATATATATATATATATATATATATATATATATTATATATCCTGGGGACCATTCAGGCTATATATATATATATACATATATAGAACTTATATATATATATATATATTATATATATATATATATATATATATATATATATATATATTATGTTCTTAAGAACTTAAGAATATAATAAGAAGTTAACATAATTTTCCGAATATGTTACAGAAGTCGCCTTTAATAAACGTTTGGCTAACGTACAAATAAAGTTGTATTAACGACAGACACAGTTACGTGATCTTATTTACCGAGCGTGAAGCAAGTCAGTGTCAGGATACTTGCTCGCTTAGAGTTGTTTGTTGTTAGAGATTCAGCTACTCGGAACCAGTTCCAAGTAGCACGGGCTATGGTGAGCCCGTAGCTTACCTGGCACAGGAGCGGGGCAAGTAGCACGGGCTATGGTGAGCCCGTAGCTTACCTGACACAGGAGCGGGGCAAGTAGCACGGGCTATGGTGAGCCCGTAGCTTACCTGACACAGGAGCGGGGCAAGTAGCACGGGCTATGGTGAGCCCGTAGCTTACCTGACACAGGAGCGGGGCAAGTAGCACGGGCTATGGTGAGCCCGTAGTGGGGATGTCGCTTAGTGTATTTATAGGCTTGGCGGAACACATATAAGTGGGAATAGTGACGCAACACCCCTGGCGGCGGATGCGCCAAACCAGCCCTTAACCCGTGCCGCCATAAGGTCGAGGACGGTGACGCTGGTCCGGGTGTTTGCGTTTCGCTCAAGGTCGCAACAGAGTGGCGCAAAAAATTAGGTGAGATATGATGTCCATGAGACAAGGTGTCCTTGGCCCTCACCTGCGCCACCCTGTCGGAAGTATATTGGCGGAGGCTCTTATCAACTCTTTTTTTTGTTTGTTTTCCTGTGTCCATACAGATGCTATGAACTCCTGGCTGCATTATTTCCGTAAGAACAGGAAGTTTGATTTGACTTAATTAATTAGAGGTGACTGTAGATGATGACCGTTTAGGGAGGAAAACATATTTAAATTTTATGAATAATTTATATTAATTTCGCAGCTACCATTTATATATATATTTTTTTTTTAGATTTTAATTACTCATTCTTGTCAGCATTGGGCTGTACAAAAGTGTTTTGTAGTTGCTTGCATAAACGTAGTTCCTTACAGCGGTTCTTGTGGTCTATATGCCCCCCAGAGTATAAATATAACTCAGTAAACACATATGGCACTTTAAGGTATTCTTATCGGAATACAAACATCATGATCTTCAGTTTAGGTTTAAATGGAACAGGCTCCAAGTAAATGATTAGTCATTGTATTTCTGCCTAATTTGGTTTGGTGTTTGGGCTTCAAGCCTACTGTCCGCGGGGGGAATTATTATAGCCTTATCTGTGATGCGCCGTTGTTTTATATTCAGCTACTGGGGAACAAAAGGTTCCAAGTAGCACGGGCTATGGTGAGCCCGTAGTGGACTTACCTGGTACAGGAGCTGGGCTATAACTTGGATATATGCCGCTTCTCGGTTTGTATATGCTGAGTCAACGTTAGCCTAGGAATATACTCTCCGACACTATGTCTGTGATTGCCATGTTATAAATACTTTCAGACCAAATGGTATGAGGTACTTTGAACCCTTCATACACTCACGAATATAATGGAAGATATTCTTGCGCTCTACCCAGAGTTTGGTAGTGCAGGCTCGCCCCAGAAAACAAAGAAACCTCAACGTTTCGGTCCGTCTTGGGCCATTATCAAGTCGTGATAATGGTCCAGAACGGACCGAAACGTCGTCAGTTCTTTAATTTCTTATGTACAGTTTGGATATCATATCTTCAGCCACGTTATTGTGACTCGTCGTTTGCAGATCAGCCTCGCATTTCATGCCCTCTCCTAATTCTGTGTGATGGGGATGTTAGATGAACTCGTAGCTGGTTTCTGATCCCTGATTCTGATTTATGATTCTGATTCTGTAATTCTTCATGTAGAATAGGATAGCAGCACATTCCTGTGTATACCCATGATTGTCCATAAAAAAAATGACGTGTCAGGACTTACCTTGGGCAAGATGCGGGCCAGAAGCGGTATGCCTTCTGGGATCTCGATGGGGGAGAGGAAGGTAGGGGAGAGGCTGCCGTTGGTCATGCCCTGATGATTCTCCTGCAGCTCCACCTGCCGGAACACATCTCAGGTCAAGCCTGGAAACATCACACATCAGGTCTGCACACATCGGCTAAATCGGGATACACCTAAACGTTAAGTCTGGACACATCTCAGGTCAAGTCTGGAAATATCTCGGGGTCAAGTCTGGACACATCTTTGGTCAGGTCAGGGATCGAATGTGTCATATTACCAGCAGATCCCACAGAAGGAGGCGAGTCGGGCTGTTTTGACGTGGCCACACAGTCGGGCTGTCTCAGAAGATGTTGACAGCCTAATGTGACCATCATTACAAGATCGGGTCTAAACAAATCTATTTCCTAATAAAAGAAAGTTGAAATTAGGCAACGCACATCAGCCTCTAGCTGACGTCTGCAAGAGTCAGCTAGAGAGGTCAGCCTCTAACTAATCCTCTGGTATGAACTTGCGACCGTGTCTCGTCTCAAGTGACATATCTATATTTTTTCCTCTTATCCACAACACTGTCGATCACACACAGAGATCACACTAACGTGATGCATCAAATGAACAAATCCACAAGGGCCGTGACGAGGATTCGAACCTGCGTCCGGGAGGTTTAACACTGTCGATCTTAGACCTACCTGCTGCAAATGTTGTTGTGGTTGTGGCTGTGGCGCTGGTGGCTCTGGCTCTGGCTCCAGCTCTGTGAACTGGACATCCGGCAATGTGATGGGCACAACGTCCTCGTACTGTCCGGAGGAGTACAACAGGTCAGTATCACAACATCAAAGCGAGTAATATTATATATATTTCCTTATGGTATAATATCCCTGAATGTTGATCAATTTTCTGCATTAACTAATAGTTGCCAAGACTTTTATATGGGACCTGTAGCGCACTGATCTACTTCGTTGGCTTACAGCCGAGGATCCCCCCTGTTCGGTTTCCGAACAGGGGATGAGAAGGTTTGGCAATGTATCATTTCACCTGATGTCGCTGTTCACCTAGTAGTAATAAGGTAATCGTGTGTCGTGCAATTGTTGAGGGATGCATCCTGCTTCAGAACATCAGTATTTGGTCAAGGTGGACCTCGATTAATCTAAGTACAAACTTCTTGTCCCTTACTATAAGAATTTGTTTAGTTCATCATCACAAATTAAAGTAATATTAAGAAAGTCTGGCCAATAACATTACGAGTTGCTTCATTTTCTTTTAGGAACTGTTGAACCATTTTCTTTGAATCGCTCTACGGCGACCATCTTTAGAACAGGTGAAAAGACGCATAAGGTAAAAGGAAACGTGCCCAGACGTCTTGTCCTACAAGGAAATGAAACTAAGAACAACAAGTTGTGAAAAAAAACTTTAGCAAGTTTGTTTTTATATATTTCATGACATTTTTGCACTCTCATTCCTTTGGAAATGTCTTGAAATATTAATGAAAGATTTAAGAAAATCCTGTTTTTGTTTTTCAAGGGAATTATTGAAAGGAATGTAACAACACATTGTAATTGTCCTCACGTACTTTTACTGCATTTATCCTTGCTACACATCCAATGCCCTGCTACACATCCCACACACACCCTTGCCACACCTCCCACACCCCTACCACACCTCCCACACCCTTGCCACACCTCCCACACCCCTACCACACCTCCCACACCCCTGCCACACCTCCCACACCCCTACCACACCTCCCACACCCCTGCTACACCCCTGCCACACCTCCCACACCCCTACCACACCTCCCACACCCCTGTCACACTTCCCACACCTCCTACATCCCTACCACACCTCCCACACCCCTGCCACACCTCCCACACCCCTGCTACACCCCTGCCACACCGCCTTACCTGGATGGCCGTTTTCTGGATCTGGTATGTTCCCCTCGGTCTCCACGTGTGGTGAAGCACACCGTCCTGGCCACAGATAAACACGTTATTAGTGTGATGTCACCACTCCTCCCAGAGGCTGGTGATGTGTAGTGATGACCCAAGTGTGATGTCACCACTCCTCCCTGAGGCTGGTGATGTGTGGTGATGACCCAAGTGTGATGTCACCACTCTTCCCTGAGGCTGGTGATGTGTGGTGATGACCCAAGTGTGACGTCACCACTCCTCCCTGAGACAGGTGATGTGTGGTGATGACCCAGGTGTGACGTCACCACTCCTCCCTGAGGCTGGTGATGACCCAAGTGTGATGTCACCACTCCTCCCAGAGCTGGTGTATGATGAATGGTGATGACTCAGATGAGGTGCAGACGGAAATACACTTGAGTGTATAGAGTGTTTTATCACGATGTATGTTTGTGTGTTTGAAAATACTGCATCTCTCATCTGAGTGTATGGAATTGTATTGCATATTGCAAAAAAAGTATTCATTCATCATGCATTATATGACTTTAAATCATTGCAACGCCCAAGTCTTTCACGAATCAAAAGATGATTGACGTCGTGAAATGAACAGCATACTAATTGCTTGTTAGCTCCTTCAAATGCCATTGTTTATCTTACAGAAGCCATATTTCTTTTAATTAAGACAAGCTGTTAACGGAAGAACGAGCAGAATTTTGAATAGTAATGACTTCAAGTGGCTTTGCTTTCAATGCAACAATGACTCAAGGCAGCGTATAGTATATGGAGATCATTGGGGGTTGCAGGCAAGGTTGCAGGCGCGAGCCTTGAGCTCAGGAGTGACTTAGACTGACGTCACGCTGGGGTCAAACGATGACGTCACACTGGGGGTCAAACGATGACGTCACGCTGGGGTCAAACAATGATGTCATGCGAGGGTCAAACGACGCTGTGTTTGAGTTATGTCTTCGGCTTCTGCTTTATATTCTTCAGGAATGATTTCTACAGAGGACCCGAGAAATGGCAACACACTAAGCTCTCCAAAGTGTGTGTATATATATATATATATATATATATATATATATATATATATATATATATATATATATATATATATATATATATATATATATATATATATTACTACATTTAACTTTATATTACCATATAATAGACCTAGGATTGCTTATATTAAGCCAAGGATTAATTACATACTGCCAAGGAGAGGCAAGGCTAGAAGGTTGACATCTATATAATGAATTAATAGGTTTTAATATTTCCAAATGTGCAAAGCAATGAACATTTTTGGGCCGCAACAATCAATCAATATTTTGAACACATGGGAGGATGGGTAACCTTGGTCAGGGGTTCTAGCATCGAGGATGGCCGGGCTGATGTACAGAGAGATAGATCACTGTTGTGATACACATCATTGTTGACATCTGGCGCCGTAAACATTACACAAACACAACGTCATTTGACCCTCACTGGTCGGGGTTCAATAGCAAGCCCATGTTATGCCTCAGGGGACACCCCTTTCTCCTCACACATAGATGGCAGAAATGTATGTTACTTGCGAATACCCTGTAAATAATATATATATATATATATATATATATATATATATATATATATATATATATATATATATATATATATATATATATATATATATATAGAGATATAGAATATTCTATATATATAGAGAATATTCTCTCTCTCTCTCTCTCTCTCTCTCTCTCCCTATATATATATATATATATATATATATATATATATATATATATATATATATATATATATATATATATATATATATATATATATATTCTCTTGGAATGCACTTCAAACACAGTAATGTCCAAGATACTTTAAAATATTGACTATTTACAACTTATCTATTAACTATTAGCTAAATCTAAATTCTAGCTATTAACTCCTAACACATATTTGTTAGACGTTGAGTACTTATAAATGACAACTGATTTGTTTCAACTACTACAGCCATTAGACATTGATAATTAACTACTAATCATTAAATATTTACATCAATTATTACGTTTATTACAGCAGTAATTTGTCGTAGTTGTTATTAGCAGGTTAGAATTTGTAACTGGTCATGAAATTGGCAATGCTTATTATCTTTTTGTGTATTAACATGATGTATTAATAGACTAAAGCAGCTGGAGATTATTCAACACGGTTGTATTAGGCTGTGGATAATTCTTTCACTTAGAGCATCGAAATTGAAATTGAAATAAGTTTATTGAGGTAAAATAGACACAAAGGGATGAGGTAGCTCAAGCTATTCTCACCCCATTTAGAGCATCGAGGTTCTGTGTGATATTCTTCTCTTATAACATTTGTTTTATTTTACGATTATCTAAGAACTTCGATTAATCTTGATAGTGATCTTGACTTATATTATCCACAGTCGAATACATAGCAAGGTAGTGCTAAAAGGTGTCAACGACTACAAACACCCAAGCAAAACGCTTCGCTGCTTCAGTGGTGTTCAACACCGCTTCAGTGGTGTTCAACACCGCTTCAGTGGTGTTCAACACTGCTTCAGTGGTGTTTCAACACCGCTTCAGTGGTGTTCAACACCGCTTCAGTGGTGTTTCAACGCCGCTTCAGTGGTGTTTCAACACCGCTTCAATGGTGTTCAACACCGCTTCAATGGTGTTCAACACAGCTTCAGTGCTACTGAACACTGCTACGTTCTTCTCATAGTGTTGAGTGTATCAGTGAAAATGATTAAGTAATGTTCAAGAGCACCATGAGATAAACACAGTGTGTAGAGCAACACTGTGAAGCCGAAGAAACACGTGGAAGACTAGACGGGAACACTGCTACTCGGGGCGGGACAAACAATATTAAAAAACATTCCAATAGGGTTGAGCAATGTGATTGTAAGACATTTATTCTCAAGCACCACAAAGATGCTAATTAATTATAAATATCAGTTGATATTGAAAGAATTTGTGGTGTCATTAGTTTTAAACCCGCTGTTTTTCAGTACAAAAACCAGTTTTGTAAACCTGGGTTTACAGTTAGTTATAGGTGCCAATGACAGTAGTGGTGGCATCAGCAAACGGTCTCATTTCAGTAGTGATCAACCACACAGCGTTCCAAGGTCTACTGTCTATTACAGAGCAGCAATCTGCTCTGTGTTGTTGCTCACTCTCCTGATTATGCATCAACTGTTTACCACCAACCTCCTCCTCCCTCAGCTATGTTCGCCCCAGCTGCGGTTGTCCCTATCCCATCCACAGACTATGGTCGTTCTCAAAGGCGCATTCTTGAATTTCTTCATACAGTATAATATAAAATAATTTTTTTTCCTAAATGAATATAAATGTATATTGTAGTTTCGTACACATTTGGGCCTATCTTGAGGTGATTTCGGGGCTTTAGTGTCCCCGCGGCCCGGTCCTCGACCAGGCCTCCACCCCCAGGAAGCAGCCCGTGACAGCTGACTAACTCCCAGGTACCTATTTACTGCTAGGTAACAGAGGCATCAGGGTGAAAGAAACTCTGCCCATTGGTTCTCGCCGGCGCCCGGGATCGAACCCGGGACCACAGGATCACGCGTCCAGTGTTCTGTCCGCTCAGCCACCGGCTCCCTGTTAAGCCTAGGCTTAAAGTTAGTTGTATTGGAGACATATGGGGCCTAACTATACAAAATATTGTATTATATATTATTATTCATTTAGACTAGATAAAATATTATTTTTGATTCCAAGTATATTAAAATTTAGGGCTGCGTCATTGGGAACGGTCACAGCTTAGACGAGTACAGCTTGAGGATGGGTTATTACTAGTTCACACAGGGATATATATTATATACAACGAGAGGTGTATACAGACTCTCGGTGCATATATACTCAGAGTTTACTTTAGTGTAAGACGGGAGACATCTCCCGTCACGCAGGGTGCAGTCGCACCTCCACAGATCTCCAGTATCAGCTCTTGATACTGGTAATGGCTCAAAAGGGCCACCACTTACGGGCTATTCATGCCCGTGCCACCTTTTGGGTGGCTTAATCTTCATCAATCAATCAATTTAGTGTAAGGACTGACTTTAAATGCGTGCTCAACACACAGTATATCCTTTCACGAACAAAGCTCACATTCACTCCAAACATATACCACTTACGGTCTACTCATGCCCATGCCACCTCTTTGGTGGCTTAATCTTCGTCAGTCAATCAATTTAGTAATGAACTATATCCAGAACTAAAGTATACTTTCCTTAATAACCGCTCTAGAGGTTGATAGGCATTAGTTCCAATACTACACCTCGTGACACCCTCAGCTTGGGCGAGCGTAGCCTAAGAAGAGGTTAGAGATAGCCTCGTATGCTTGAACGAGCATGATTGGGGAATAGGATGTTGTACGATAGAATTTCTTCCGGAGATGTTTTCAATCGACTCAATAATGAATTAATGCTTCAATCAGATATGCTGAGGCATATCTATCCAGAGATATGACCTATGTGTCATTATATTTTGGGCTGACAGAAATGCAAACATATAATGAGAAGGCTAAATTGATTCTTATCCGGTAACTCAACTGACTCATTCACAAAGTATAAACAGTCATCAATGTAAATAATGCGATTCAGAGTACAAAGAACACACGGGGCAACCACACAATGACATTGCGATTTAAAAGAATATGCTTTGTAAATTATATTGAATTTAATGGTCAACTAATGAGAGTTGAAATATTTATTTGCGAACAAAGAATATTCCTTTTTGACAATATTGACGAATGAATGTTCTGATGTTAACGATAATCAGGATGACACTGAGATGCATTTGTGATGAGGTGAGATACGTCTGAGACATGATGCTGAGACTCATCTCTGACATGATGCTGAGACTCGTCTCTGACATGATGCTGAGACTCGTCTCTGACATGATGCTGAGATTCATCTCTGACATGATGCTGAGACTCATCTCTGACATGATGCTGAGACTCGTCTCTGACATGATGCTGAGACTCATCTCTGACATGATGCTGAGATTCATCTCTGACATGATGCTGAGACTCATCTTTGATATGATGGTTATATTTGTCGTTTATCACATTCCAAGTTTATATATGTTTATGAATTTTAAGACGAGCACAGTTACACAGGTCATTAAAGGCGTCTCCACCTCAGGTATTGGTTATGTTTATATAAATTAGTTATCAAGTATTTTGATTAAACCTTTTGGTTGATAAAGTGCTTTAGTTTATAGCGAGGAGGGGCCGGTGGGGGCAGAGTTTCTCCGACTTTTGGCCACATTAGGAAAGATCTCGAGGAATGGAAGAGACTTCGAGGGGAGGAAAAAGGTCACTCAAGGGAGGGTAATGGTCTCGTAGAAGGAGAAAGTCATTCGAGGGACAATATGGGCTTGGAGGAGACCAGGTAGAACACAGATGCGGGAAATGTAACAAGTATTTGGATGCTGGTGTAGGGAAGGGTACAGTTAGGACCTTAGTGGTGGCGAGGCTGGGAAGAAACAGCACTGTAGGAGACTGGAGGCTCCCCACGGAAGAGAACTGAGGTAAATAACCTTCTTATGTACAAAGGAAGTTCTCAATGACAAAAATAGGAGGAAAAAAATAACAGATCGAGGAATATTACAACACACCAACAAATTTTAATGTTTAAATTCATTTTTTTTTTTAGGATATCAGGAAGATTGGAGTTTAAATGAAAATTTATTGAGAATAAAAGAAAAGCCAATTCTTATCATTCTCATATCAAAGGGAAGAGTGAGAGGTGAGGGGGGGGGGAGGTAGGGGGGAGGGGGATAATAACAACTTGAAATACCTCATCATAATACTCGAACTCCTCCCCCTCCTCCTCCTCCTCTTCCTCCACCTCCTGTGTCTCCAGTGGCTGGTGTTCCCGCTCCGCCACCACCACCACGTGCTGCGCCTCCTTCACCGTCTCTATCACCGCCACCGACTTCGCCTCCGTCGCAGATTTGACTTCGCCCACACCCCCTTCACCTGCCTCCTTCCCCTGTACCTCTTCCTGCTCTGGGGACGCTTCTCGCTCTATTTCCGTGATGATCTCCTGCAGCTGTGTCTTGATGTTCTCTTGGCTGATTTCTTCCACCTCTGGTGCCTCGACGACGTCGACGGGCGCTGCTTCCGGTTCGGCGGGAGGTTCGGTGAAGGGTTCTGGATCGGCGGTGGGTATCGGGGTTGAGTCTGGCAGAGCTTCACCCACTGGTTCTTCTTCTTCTTCTTCTTTGACGGGTTCCGGTTCCACAGCAGGCTCTGGCTGTTCATCTGGTTGTGGTTCTTTAACTGTTTCTGGTTCGGGTTCTTTAACTGGTTCGGGTTCGGGTTCTGTGACAGATTCAACCACAGGCTCTGGTTCTTTATCTGGTTCGGGTTCTGTGACAGATTCAACCACAGGCACTGGTTCTCTGGCGGGTTCTGGTTCAAGAACGAGCTCAGACTCTTTCGGCGACTCTAATTCTGCAGCGTGCTCTATTTCTTTAACTGGCTCTGGTTCCGTTACAGACACTGGTTCTGCAACGGGTTCTGGCTCTTTAACCGCCTCTGGTTCTTTAACAGCTTCTATTTCAGGGGGTGGTAACTGTGCGGTGGCTTCTTGTTCTTCTTGGATGGAATTAGCGTTTTCGTCTACTGACTGCGGTTCGCTCTCAGACTGAACCACTGCTGGAACCTCAGCTGGTGCCTCCGTGACGGACTGTAACAAGTTGGTACTCTCGAGGGATTGCAATTGGCTGGAGCTCTGGATGGACTGCGACTCGTTAAACCCCTCGAGGGTCTTTGATTGGCTGGAGCTCTGGATGGACTGCGATTGGCTGACACTTTGAATGGACTGCGATTGGCTGCTGACGCTCTGAATAGACTGCGACTGGCTGACGCTCTGAATAGACTGCGACTGGCTGACGCCCTGGATGGATTGTGATTGGCTGACGTTCTGGATTGATTGTGATTGGCTGATCCCCTCCATCTTGCTTCCCTGGACCACCGACTCGATGCGGACAGCTGATTGGTGCGATGTCTCCATGTGGGACGCCTCGAAGCTCGTTACTGCGTGCTATCAACCAGGAGATAGTTAGTATCGTTACTTCATGTTCACAACGTGATTAGAACACCGGAAACTATAATGGTAACAATAAAGGGGGGGGGGAATAGTTAGGGAGGTCGCCACTCTCAATCAACCACTCAGCAGGCAACACCGCTGCCATATGGCAACACGGCGGACCGTTACATTGCCACGTGCTAGCAGACAGATAGATAATTAGTACACTTGTCAAAGTAGCCCAAATCAGGAAATATACAAATGATCGACATGAGTGCTAAGCTTGTGTTGGGTCAAGCTTGGGTAGTAAGCTGCGTGTAGCACCGCACTCACGAGGAGAGGAACAACTGGTTATTATTAGGGAATATTAGACTTCTTTTCTGGAAAATAATCTGTGGAGGATATGTCTGAAAACATAAATACATTTCCGAAGTACATATTATATGGGAAGTTACATGTTAAAGCTACAAGAATAATAGAAACTCATTGTAGAACAAATGTTACACATTACAGTTTACGAAATGGATTACAGCGACCAGATATATCAGTGCATGTATACTGAGAGTATACTTTAGTCCTGGACCATGTTCAGGACTACAGTGTATTGTTTTTGTTTAAGATTCGCTACCTGGAACAAAATGTTCCAAGCAGCACGGGCTATGGTGAGCCCGTAACTACAGTGTACTTGCTGGCTGGTCAGTGAGCACTTGTGGTGGCCTCTGTAATCATCCAAAGGTTCATAAAGGAACCTATAAGCCCAACACCAAACCAATGGTAACTCTTCATTCTACATTGATTCCTCTTCAGTGAAATGATAGATAGACGATAGATAGATAGAAAGAAATAGATAGAAATGATAGATAGAAAGCGACGTTCCTGGCGTGCATCACCTCCACAAATTAATCACTCAAAAAATACGGTTCAAAATTAATAAACACTGATTTTTTTTTTAATTCAAAGTACCACAATGCACTCATTAAATTAGTGGCCATATATTTGAATCGTTATATAAACAAAATATGTGTTTATGGAAATTAATTTGTTTCACGGTATTTGTCACATCAAAGACATAGCGATTTACACACACACACACACACACACACACACACACACACACACACACACACACACACACACATGTATGTATAATATGTATAATTATATATATATATATATATATATATATATATATATATATATATATATATATATATATATATATAGATAGATATAGATATAGATATATATAGATAAGATAAATATACACACTTAACAAAAGAATAGAAATGGTAGGAGAAGAAAATATCAAAGTGTTCAGTGAGTATCCACACGGTCTTCTCTGAGTACTCTTTATTTTCTTCTCCGAGGCTATGGGTCCCTACACTTGCACCAGAGGTGGTACCCCTTCTATATATATATATATATATATATATATATATATATATATATATATATATATATATATATATATATATATACACATGTTATATTTAACAAACAGAACACTTTCCCTTGAGAGAATCGAACCTGGACCAGCCAAGAGGCATAGCCAGTGTGCTAACCAACAGACCCCCAGCGGATCATTAAAAGGATTGTGAATTGGGCTGCTCATCCGCGAAACCCTAGTCCCCAATGACGCCAGCTAATGGTTATATAAATCAGACACATATTTTCTATCAGTCATATTTACTAGGGAAAACTAGCCCGATTCAGAGTCCCTTTAGTGATCTGATGGTGGTCTGTTGGTTAGCACACTGGCTCTACCACTTGGCTGGCCCAGGTTCGATTCTCTCATAAGAGAAGTGTTCTGTTTATATATATATATATATATATATATATATATATATATATATATATATATATATATATATATATATATATATATATATATATATATATCACCAAGATTTGCATGTCTCAACCAGTCATTCAATCAAATAAATTGTTAATTTTTTAGCTGGTTGTATTGGTGTTATTGTATTACGGTGGTTTTGGTGGTGATAGTAATAGTAGGACTGGTAGTAGGTGTACTGATGGTGGTGGTACTACTGGTCGTGGTAGTACTGGTAGTAGGGAGTAGTACTAGCTGGTAGTAGGGAGTAGAACTGGTAGTAGGTGGTGGGCAAGCCAGCTTGGCAAGGCCCAGAGGAGGTCACTCCGTGCCAATTCTTCAGCAACCTGGTGATCCTATGACTAGCATTGACGATCATTAGTAAGAACTGAGCAGAGACGACAACTGTAACTGATCACCTCAAAGTTATTATATAATTATTCCAAGTTATCATTTAATTTCCTCGCGCTAAACTAAGCTGACCGAACTTATGTTATGGAGGGAAACACTGTCTATTAATCCAACATTCTGCTCGTAACTCATTCTCTATGATGCACTTTTACCTAAATAAATTATTATTATTATTATTATTATTATTATTATTATTTAATAGTTAAAAAAACATGGCGCTGCATAAAATAAATATTCTTCTCCAAACTACGTACACCTTTTGTTTAAAAAGTATTATTATGAATTATTATACATGAAGTGGAGAGACGAGGAGGTGAGAGTTACGGGAAAAGCAACAAAAGCTGTTAAAAAGAAGGATTAAAAATAATCGTGAAATGCCAATAATTGCACTATTTATCGTCTGCAATCCAGCTGATTGGATTCAATAAAACATTCATTGTTGTATATTTCGTGTATATATATTCATATACCCTAAATATTAAAACCATTTTTTTTTGTAATATATGCACTTGCAAATATTAAATAAATGAATCATTGAATATGCCACCAGTTAAAATATTTTAATTAGTTAGTCTTAAATGAGTGCATAATCATAGAAAACCAAAGAGGGAAATAGAAAATGGAAATATTGGAAGGAAGGACTAAGATATAAAGGGTCACTCACCTCTTGTTTCTCAGGCGTAACAGAATGAGCCATGCTTTGGGTGGAGGAGTAGGTAGAAGTTGCTAATGATTCCAAACTCGGAGGTGTGATAATAGGGAATTCCACAGAGGACTCAACCTTACCACTTTCAGACAAGACACGCGCACCAACAATACGCAACCCGTCTGTTTCATGCACAGTCTGGAACACAAGGGTTTAAGAACGGTGGTATACGGCAGAAAATCGTCTTGGAGACACTTAGACACTCCGTTAACAGGGTTTCTGGCATGCGTTTTTTTCTAATATGGGTAAAGGAGGTAAAAATCGGCGAGGGAGATAAAGTTATAGGCTACACTTAAACGGAATTAACATAGATAAAAAGCAAAATGATAATAATACTCAATAGGCCAATATTGAATAATAAGGATAAAACACTTAAGTATGTAAGTAAGCATGATATTGATGATAGGATCGACGCTATGTATAAACAAGCCTCTACAAACATGGTCAAGTTTAAGTCACATATGTACGGGTTGGAAGAAGATAGGTTGGCAGGCGGCGGCGTAAGACGTCACAGGTGAGGGTGCCAAGCCTCTCCAAGACGCTGACGGTCATTGGATTACATCGGCGATCTGATACCGAAAGTCTGGCACGGTCAGCGTGTGACAGTATCCCAATGAAGGAGTATATTTTCAAAGGAAAAATAACGAAAAGCACCAGAAAAAAAATATATATACGGTATTGATAAACCTTAAAAACATACTTTGGAAATTATTTAATATCGACTGTTGCTTTAGACTGACCGAACAAAAATGGCTAACTAGCGTATATTTCTTAGCGCAAGAAAGAAAGAATTTGTCAAACGTCAAATTATGTAAAAGATTTAGCAGGAGCGAACGGATATATGGCCACTAAGCTTGGAAAATCGGTAGAGTATAAATCATCTCACAAGTATAAATAGACCAGGCAAGATTAGCGCAAAACAACATTAAAATGCCTGTAACATCCAACTACATGAAGTTAGGACAACATTAACACGCTGGTAATATTGAAGTTTAGTCATTAAAGTGCACATAATTAGCTATATTTCATATAATTTAGATGCATTCATCAAAATAGCATTGAATAAGCAGGCGATGAGTCACAATAACGTGGCTGAAGTAGTTTGACCAGACCACACACTAGAAGGTGAAGGGACGACGACGTTTCGGTCCGTCCTGGACCATTCTCAAGTCGATTGTGCTATTCTCAAGACAATCGACTTGAGAATGGTCCAGGACGGACCGAAACATCGTTGTCCCATTACCTTCTAGTATGTGGTCTAGTCAGCATTGAATAACTGATATGAATTTAATAAGTGAAAAACTGTTGGTTGAAGAATCAAGCAGAAGCGAAGGTCGATGTAGGCGAGGCTTTCCCCGTACCTTGGTGACTGTGTGGGTGGTGGAACCCTCCTGCTGCACCGTCTCCCTCCTGGCCACCGTCGACGCCTCCGTGTCTCCCATCTCCCTGTGGCCGGGGTGAGAACACGTGTTAGAGTGACCATAACCCCCACTTTATTTCCATTCCACTATCAACTAATAACTTTATGCATTGCAAATAACCAGCTTTATATGGTATCGCCAAGGGCAGAGTACATAGCTAGGTTATTATTATATAATAATAATAATATTATTATTATTATTATTCTTAAATATACATACAGTAATACATATAGGATAATAAATATCCTATACAGTAATATAGGAATATATTACAGTGGTTTATGTGTAGGTACAGATGATGCTCATTACATTAGGCTACCAGTAATCCACTAATAATAATAATATTATCCTTACGAAGGCACATGATATTTGTCAAGAACTGAACCTCGGTGTTCTCTAACCAAAACAATTCATCTTTATGGAGGATTAGGTTTTGATTTGATTGCCATGCACCCCCACACCCGCGGAAGGTACACGCCGAGCTCATTCAATGGGTAAGAAAGGAAGGAAGGTTCACCCTAAATTCGAACAGCGGGTAGAGTTCGAAGGAGCAACCTTCTCCTCCCCCTCCCCCCCCCCCCCACCACAACTTCCCTTCCCCCCCCCCCCGACATACAGTTGGTAGCTGTAAAAGTTGCACTCCACACACACATCGAAGGTGCACCTAAAGAACATCAGTGGGTAGGAATGGAGAGTTCACCATAAATTCATATAATGGGTGGAGGTGGAAGGTGCCCCGTTCCACACACGTGGCTGGCGGCGGTGGAAGTGTACATGATGATTACAGGAAGTGTGCGGACTAACTACAGTGCACACACTTTGAATATTTGGTAATTTCGAATGTGGTAATTAAGACGTACTTTAGAATGGTACTTTAGTATTTGGTACTTTAAAGTACTCAAGTTCAAGTATGTTTAATGAGTCAAGAAAAAATACATCTCAAAGGGATAGAGTAGCTTAGGCTATTTCTACCCCCCCCCCTCCCCTCCCCTTTAAAGTACTTTGGTACTTTAGAATTTGGATGAAATATTTAGACATTTCTTATAGATCAGTGTTAGAGTTATCTATCCCCAAATAAAGTTTTCCTCAATGGTATGACAGTGATGCAAGTATGTGGGTATATACTTGGCGCCTGTTTACATTGGCTCTGAGTTATATAAGCAGGTGCTGGAAACTCCCAGAGATACTTATAGCAGAACTTGAACTGAGCATTGATAACTTTAAATAATTAAATGTAGATAACTCTGTTTAAATAACGTACATCAAACTTCTCAATATATATATATATATATATATATATATATATATATATATATATATATATATATATATATATATATATATATATATATATATATATATATATACACACAATTTGCTGAACAATAATTTGGTTTAAAAGTCTCAATGTGTTTAGTAATAAGGCAGTGCGAACAACGAAGCCATAATTCTTTTGATGACATGCGAATACTTTTGAGTTTTCCAAAAATATCTTCTCTCTCTGTGATACATCAATCATAAGCCAAGAATTAAAAAAATCAACAGGGGAAAATAAGTTTAAAAATACAACAAGAGAGTTGAAACAAGGGAGACGTCGGTGACGGTTTAGCCAACACCTTAATTTTTTGTTATTAAAATGGGTTCATCTCTATTTATACGCTTTCTGGACTATAATGAAGAGTTACAGAATGAATGTCAATACTTAACTATATGATATTGTGATCCCTATCTCGTAGGGTGGTTTATTTGTCATACATGGACAAGTAATTAGTTCGGTTATCATACATGGACAAGTAATTAGGTCGGTTATCATACATGGACAAGTAATTAGGTCGGTTATCATACATGGACAAGTAATTAGTTCGGTTATCCTCAAAATCACTAGACAACTTCAGGTGTTGCCAAGTGGCTGCACAGCCTTTCCGTGCTCTCTGCTCCCTCCTCCTCCTCCTCCTGCTCCGACGCTGCCTTTTCCACTTGTTATAATTTGTTTACGTATTACAATAGGTAAATTGTGTCTAATACCTTTTAGTAACCGTCTTCATATATTTTTACTTAATATATAAAATATGACTTGAACTGTAAATAAAAATAATAAATTAAAATATTATGCTGCATAAATTTATTTATTATACATATGCTACAACTTGGTTGAATGATGGGTTTAAGGGTTATAATATATATAATTTTAACTTGCGATACCTATATACTTACGTAAACCCAAAAGTAGTCACATTTTAATTAATTTAATAAATTTATATTTAATTGTTGTTTAAGATTCGCTACCTTGAACAAAAAATTTTAAGTAGCACGGGGTATGGTGAGCCCATAGCATATTTTATCTGTTGTTGTTGTTGTTAAAGATTCGCTACCTGGAACAAAAATGTTCCAAGTAGCACGGGATATTTTATCATAACTCGTGTTTATTTTATTATAGTGACTGCGCACCTCAAGGCTACTTGTTGAGGCGGGGCGAGACAGCTGTACAAGTTAGGATAAACCGTCTTCATTACCCTGACATTAACATGCAAAACTTACGCTCTTCTTCCTTTGCTTCTTTATCTTTAAAATTATATTTAGGCTCCGTAATGTTGTTAGTTTCCGCGTAGATACTAATGCAAAACGCGATCCACCAGTTTATAACGAAACTTAACATTTCAGTAGGTGTTAGTAGGATGTTATATATTTTATTTATATATATATTAGAAGAAGACCTTGTGGGTTCTCACTGAACACTTTAATCTTTTGTTCTGCTACCACCCCTATTCTTTTATATTAATTTTGGTTTATTTTATTGCATTGCTACAGTTTTACAGAGAATATATATATATATATATATATATATATATATATATATATATATATATATATATATATATATATATATATATATTTTGGTAGCAGTCTTTCCTGTAGACATATATATTAAATATGACCGAAAAAGTAAGATTAATATTCTAACACGAATTTTCTCAATCTTTCGTACATTTCTTTTCACTGTTGGTGGTAATTCAAAAATCATTCTCCAAAATTCATTTTTATTTCTAGTCTGAACAACTCTCACACCCTAGAAGTGACTCGAACCCATATTGCCAGGAGCACGATGCAACTGGTGTACAGGGTTACCTTATCCTCTCGACACCAGTTGCATCGTGTTCCTGGCAGTATGGGTTCGAGTCACTTCTGGGGTGTGAGTTTTCAGTTGCATGTATGCCTGGGAACCATTCAGGCTCGTTCATATATATATATATATATATATATATATATATATATATATATATATATATATATATATATATATATATATATATATGGAGATGAGCCTATCACTCTTTCCTCAGGGAGGAGGATCCCTGGAAGTAATCACATCAAAACCACTCTGTAATTAATGCTATAATCTATTCCCTATCCATGGTTAGATTAGGTTACGTTAATATGGTGTATTATTTTCTGGTGTATTATTCTCAAACATGTGAAATATGAAATTCGAAACCTCTTTCATCGCCAGTGTTAGCAGTTGAGGCATTGACAGTTGAGCAACTGTGTTTGGCTGTTATCTGTTATCACTCAGACATGGTGCCACCATGACTTTTAAGGTTAAGTCCGCCTCCTTGGTTCCTAAAAGCAAACAGAGAAGGAAATCACAGCTGCTCTAAACAAACCAAGGAGAGTCGGTTATATCGTAGTCTTTATAAAGAAAGATGTTGCAACTGTGATCGTGGCCAAAGGAGAAGACCTCCAGAAACTACTCGATAATGTACGGCTGGCTGTTCTCCAACAGGAGAACATCTCGCCAATCTCACTTCAGTAATTTTATACTAACATGACGGTTTTCGTCAGAAACTGAGCAGCTGGATAACTGAAGGTGCCGAAGATGACATCATCCAGCAGATCATCCAAGACAATCTTTGTCTGACTGCAATCTCAGCTTACTTGATCTAAAGAAGAAACAACGAAACGTTCAACAAAGGAAGAACAAAATGAAGAAACTTACGACAAGACCAAACAAACCAAGACCACATAACAACCAGCTGCTGCCTTCAACAACCACAACACTTCACCCTCAAGTCTACCTGGACAATTTCCGACCAACCAAACTACAAACAACAACAACAACAGCCCGAGTGGGTACAACCCAACGCCACCCCAAAAAATCATGTGCTACGACTACAAACATCCAGTGCATCGTCATCGCCCTGAAACGACCACGTCCGTTTTATCCAGAGGGTCAACAGCATACTATTGGCCAACAACATACCAGCTGGTCATGAGCCAGACAAGGTCAAGGGGGAACCCACCACCCAAGGAACACCACGACAGACGCCGGCAGCCAACACCACAAACCACCGCGACAAGAGCCAGAAACCGAACCCACCACTTGTGAGCCTACAGCCACCACGAACACACCACCAGAAGTCGAACCCACCATCTCCTAGGATTCCATCCAGCCTGATGAACCCTCTACACCTGAGGCCCCCAATCACGAACCTAAGGAGAGTGCACCACCCCCAAGAGTGATGATTCTTACAGCCGCTTGAGCATACTGTGGTATACTGTTTCGCTTCAGCACCTGACTACGTCTGCTCAAGCGAAACAGTATACCAAGTTTTTTTTTAAATTTTGCCCCGAGGGGCGAGTTTATTGGGCAGCGCCACTCATCTTGTGAGTGGACACACCGCCATAGCAACATGTACAACACTCCCCAATAGGAAGAAAACCCGCTGGGTTGTTCATCCTGTCACTTGTACCCAGACACAGCTGAGACTTGCTTAACTGTCTCAAGTGAACAGCTATACCACTTGTCCTTCAAAATTACGAAGGCAACGAACAATGTGAAGGACAATATGAAGATACCTGCTTGATGGGGTTCTGGGAGTTCTTCTACTCCCCAAGCCCGGCCCGAGGCCAGGCTTGACTTGTAAGATGGGGATATGAACTTTATACCATATATATGGACAAGAACAATAGAATAACACGATCAACATTAAGACGAAGACGGAAACTCTACACCTGCAAAAGACAAGA